CTTCAGAGTCTGAAGAACCACTCTGAGGTGTTGCTCGTGCTCCTCCTGGCTGCGGGAGTACACCAGAATATCATCAATAAAGACTATCACGAACAGGTCCAAGTAAGGTCTGAAAGCGCTTAAACCATATATAAGACTTGTACCGGGCGTCGGAACCGAAATACGAGCCCGATACCATAGTCTTTTAATCAATTTTCATTTCCATTTTCCCTAATAATTTCAGAAAAATAATATCACAGAAATTTTTTTTTCTCGGGCTCTAGACCTCGGAATTCGACTCCGGGCATATGCCCAAGTCCCATATTTTTCTACGGACCCTCCGGGACCGTCAAATCACGGGTCCGGGTCCGTTTACCAAAAATGTTGACCGAAGTCAACTTTAATCATTTTGAAGCCACATTTTGAAATTTTTCACAGAATTTAACATATAATCTTTCCGGCTATGGGCCCGAACTGCGCACGCAAATCGAGGCAACTAAAGGTGAGGTTTTCAAGGCCTCGGAAGGACGAAAAAAGAGAGAAATTCGGTGATGACCCTTTGGGTCGTCACATTGGTATAGTTAAATACCATATTGGTATCATATGGTAGTTTGAACATTGTTTTGGTTGTTTTAGCTGCATTTTAAGCGAATTCTATTATGAAATTATTTATATCAACATGAGTTGCAATAATGCTGGAATGTTTGTGTGCCGATGGACATAAATTGTGTGTATTAATAGTTTTTATAGTTATAGGCAATTGTTGGAACGACCCCATACAACTATATACCTTCTTAGTATATGAAATGAGCAAGTTGTTTTGCGAATATTTAGCTTGCAATACGAGCATGTAATTTTCTCATACTTTGATTGCGTCCTTTAATATTTTTGTATAGTAGAGTAGTATAGTCGCAGATAGTTGTAGAAATCATATGCTCTGTTGGTATACATATATACCATATTGGTATTACATGGTACTAGAAGTCTTTTTCGCTACCTATACTTTTGTTGTATTTTTTAATATTTTATTATCATTTTTATTCTAACTAGTATATATGGAGATTTGGTTGCCGTAGATTATGTTTTCTTGCTCTTTAACTGGTTGTATTACTGCTAATGGTAGAGTGTATATTGATATTTATAGGGAAGGAGATCAAGGTTTGCATGGCAACCACGTGTTGATTCTTAGAATTTGATTATGTAATTTATGGTGCTCAACAACAGTCAATGTGATATCCAGTGTATTAGATCAAGTGACAACTAATATTATTTTAGTTTATAATTGAATTTAAAAAATGAGAAAAAAGGTATATTGTACGAGTTATATTAAAAAAAGGTGAACAAATATTTACTATATCAATTATTTTTCTTATTGTATAAAAAAAGAATAATAAAAAATAGTGAAAATGGTAAATAAAATTAGATTATGAAGAGAAAAAGAATATAAAAAAAACAAGAAGTTAAAAAAAATTAGAAAAGGAAAAAAGAAAAAAATAAAAAGAAAACGAGAAAAAAGAAAAGCAGAAATGAAAAAAAAGAAAAAAAAAGAAGAAAAGAAGCATAGAAATAAAAAAGAATTGGAGAATAAAGAAAAAATTCCCCACAAAAACTACTATGGCTAGGAAATGTAATTAGTTTATGGGTAGAAAAACGAATAGGTAGACAAGGGTAAATAGTTTTGTTTTTGTGGGTAGCTGTGTCAGGGTCAGTTACTGCATGACTCGAGGAAAGTGCCACTCAGATCGGGCACTATAAATTTCAGTATTTGTCCACTTTGGCAAGGGATTCGAATAACTATCAACTCAAGAAAATCTATTAGCAGGGCCGGCTCTAACATAGTAGGGGATAAGGCAACTGCCTTAGGCCCCCAATTTTGGGGGGCCCCACTTTTTAGGAATAATAAATATTTTATAAGTTTATAGGTTTTTTTTTTTAAAAAAAGTATATGTATATAGTACTTTTGTACTTTTTATATAAAAAGAAAGAAAAACTTTAGATATATTAATAAATTAAAGCTTAAATAGTACTCCCTCCATCCAGTTTATGTGAACCTCCGTTCCAAAAAGAATGAACCCTTTCTAAATCTGGAAACAATTTAGCTTAAATTCTCAATTCTACCCTTAGTGAGAAGCATTAACCACACAAATACTGTGGACCCCTTTTTGAGTTGTTTAGGACTACAAATCCCAAAAGTCTTCATTTTTTCTTAAACTTCATGCCCAATCAAACAGGTTCACATAAATTGGAACAGAGGGAGTAGAAAAATAGTTGTCATTTTGATTTGATTTGACAACTCTACTTTTTATTCTTCCAAGTAATTCCTGTCCATCGTTTCAATTCTTGTGCTAGTATTCATTCATTCTTCTTTCTTCATATTCCAGAAGACGTATCTTCTTCTTCTTCTTCTTTCTTCATGATTCATGCTTATCTTCTTAATTCTTTCTACTAGATTTTTTTCTTTCCGCAAGACTCCAACAAGCCAACAACTAGATATTTTGGAATTGGAATCAAAGTCTTCAAACTTCTTGATTCATCAGTCATTGGGTAATATCATTCTAACTTTCTAGTATTATTTTTATTTGTTATTTATTATTTATTAATTTTAATCTGTACATATTGTTTAATTTTTTTTAGAATATCAATATGCCAACAAGAAAATGTGCATCTGGTTATTCAAAAATCCAAAAGAAAGAAAAAGTGAAAAATTTAATAAAATCTTAAAAAGGAGCTCTTGACAAATTTTTGACAAACAATGAAAAAACTAAATTCGCAAAATGTAGGAGAATGTTCTGTAGATGAACAAGTCACCAACTTAGTTGAGTCAGATAATAACAAAATCCAAATTGAAGAAGAAAATGTTTATAAGAAAAATACTTAGGCCCCATATTAAACTTTCACCTTAGGCCCCATATGCGCTTGAGCCGCTCCTGTCTATTAGTCATTGCAGCCTGCTCTCTTTTTATCTTCTGCAATTGTTCAATCAAGCTTGGCTTAATCAAGTTTTTGTTTCTATTCAGTTCACATATCATCAAATAATAAACATCTATTTTTTTCCTTATTAATTCATCGTTCAATTTATATTTTTCATAATCGATTAGATATTTTTGGGTATTCTAATAAATAAATTTTGGGTTAAACACTGCTAAATTCATTTGAATACTTGATCGAATATAAATCAGATTCCAGAATTTAAAAACTGTAAACTGAACGCATAACAAACGACCTACTCCAGAAACGACAACCAGACCAGGTATTTCTTATTCTAAATTAGAAAAGTAGTGTAGTTAGTTAGTGCCCTTTATTATACTTTGTGGTTAGCGCCTATGCGAATAATCAGAGTACATAAAAAATGGGAGCATCACTTACCATCTGACACATGAAGTGACGTTCGCTTGTAAATTTAAAATAATTTAGTAGGTGATGTTATCGTGCCACTAGATATAGTTAATGAAAACTTTCAAATAATAATGGTATCAAGATGAAATGAAACAATATATTCCATCCGTTTCAATTTATGTGAATCTATTTCCTTTTTAGCCCGTGTAAAAAAGAATGACCCATTTCCATATCCGGAAACAATTTTTTCCTTTATAGCAATAATTTATAGCCACACAAAATATATGTGCTGATGATAGGCTATAATTGCATATTTTAGTCGCTTATTACACTCGAATTTACTGCACTTTAATTGAGTTTGCGCTTTAATCGCTAGTGTTTTGCACTAATTGTGTGTTTTATGCCTTGTAGGTGTGATTCCGAGCTATATAGATGTTATGGAATGAATTTAAGTGATTTGAAGATTTGAAGTCTGAGTAAAAGCTCAAGGAATTAAGCCGGGATCGTGTTCGGAGGTCAAATTTGATAATTAAGTACGAACGAAGACTTGAGGAGGCATATTGCGCATTATCTAGTAAAATAGACATAACTTTTTGCTCAGAACTCCATTTGGGCTACACAATATATGGTTGGAAAGCTAAATGAGTTAGCTTTCCAACCACATATTGTGGAGCCCAAATGGAGTTCTGAGCAAAAAGTTATGTCTATTTTACTAGACAGTGCGCAATATGCCTCCTCAAGTCTTCGTTCGTACTTAATTATCAAATTTGACCTCCGAACACGATCCCGGCTTAATTCCTTGAGCTTTTACTCAGACTTCAAAGCTTCAAATCACTTAAATTCATTCCATAACATCTATATAGCTCGGAATCACACCTACAAGGCATAAAACACACAATTAGTGCAAAACACTAGCGATTAAAGCGCAAACTCAATTAAAGTGCAGTAAATTCGAGTGTAATAAGCGACTAAAATGTGCAATTATAGCCTATCATCATGTGCCTCATTTTATACCACAAGTTTAAGAGTCTTCTCTCTTTTCTTAAATTTCGTGTCCAATCAAATAAGTTCACATAAATTAAAACAAAGGGAGTATTGAAAACAAATGCTGGGTTGAGTCAGGAAACTAAGGGGTCGTTTGTAGGAGGTATTAGAAAAAATAATGCAAGCATTAGCTCTATGCATCACTAATACCTTGTTTGGTACACTTTTTCAACCAGCATATAACTAATACTTGTATTAGTTATACATCATACTTGGTATTATCCTATGTATAAGTAATGCGTAGAAAACCATGACATTAGTAATACCAAGGCTATTAATGCATGCAGTAGTATGATTAAAGACAAAATTATCCTTAAATTTCCTTAAAGCTAGAGAATATGGAGGGCATTTTTGTAAACAACTATTTTTCTTAAAAATTATGCAATACATTATAATTTTAAAACACCACACGAAACAATAGATAAGAAACACAATCTGCATAACTAATGCTTCCATTACTAACCCATGCATTATTAATTCATACATTACTAATACACCTTATTTCGCACTATTCTTATACACCCTACCGAGCGACCCCTAACAATTCGAAGGCCTTGTCCATGCCTCTTTATTCAGAGCAAACAAGACTGGACATTTTTGTAATTGTACACCAATTTCAAGGGCTATTTTAGGGAGAGGGTATCCGATGAGTACTAAAAGCATGACACCGGACAAATGAAAGCGTCTTTAAATTTCCGACTTTGAGGATTGATAGAAAGAGGAAACACCAGAAGAATATATAGTAGAATCGCTTGTGGCAGATTTCTTTTAAGCCATGGCTGCAACAACACAAGGCAATTGGATCAAGGTCTGGTTCATCCCTATTTGACCTATGCATTCTTTTCGTTGCTCTGATATATTACTTTGATTTCTTTCTGCTTCTTTTGGAATACCAAAATTTAGTGCTTATTGTTTAAGTGGTTTTTTTTATGGGTTCTTTTTAGTTTTCGTGTCCCTAGAGTTAGCCATCACATAACTCATGCTGGTAAATTCAAAAGCTAGGGCTGGTGTTTTGAACGTGATTTCAGCCTGAATAAGAGGAAATTAGTTACATGATTAATATTATACACAACACAAGCACCTGATTGACTAAAAATGATTGGTATTAATTGGTGCCAAATGCTTGACAGCCTCTTAAACAGTTTCATCTTTTAGCAATTGCACATTCAGCATCACTAATGAGTGTAAAGGGATGCATTGGTAGCTAATTCTACATATCAAAGTAGCTGTTCTTGATTGAAATTTGAAGTTGATATCATGATATTGTTACATAGACTTGGGATATTGTTTCATTCATTCTGTTAAATGATAGTATTACAATTGCCCTTCAAGTTTCTAGGCTGTGGGAATTAGAGTGTGTAACCAGTTTTAAACTAGTTGATGGATTCTTATTGACACCCTTCAAATGCAGCTGGAGGAAAAAGGGGCTGGACCTGGGGCAAGAAGCTCGCATGCCATCACTATTGTAGGACAAAAGGTATATGCCTTTGGGGGTGAATTTACACCTCGTGTCCCTGTCGACAACAAATTATACACGTTTGATCTCAATGACCAAGAATGGTCCGTGGCAGACGCAGCTGGGGATGTCCCTCCACCTCGTGTTGGTGTCACTATGGCTACTATAGGGGAAACAATTTATGTATTTGGTGGCAGAGATGCTGAACATAAGGAGCTCAATGAGCTCTATTCTTTTGACACAACTACTAACAAATGGACTTTATTGTCTAGTGAGGATGAGGGTCCTCCTCACCGAAGCTACCACTCGATGACTTCTGATGATCGGAGGATCTACGTCTTTGGTGGTTGTGGAAATGCTGGAAGATTAAGTGATCTTTGGGCTTACGACGTCGTTGATAAGAAATGGATCAAATTCCCTGTGCCAGGGGAAAATTGTAAACCAAGAGGTGGACCTGGTTTGACTGTGGTCCTAGGAAAAATCTGGGTTGTGTATGGATTCTCTGGTGATGAACTTGATGATGTGCATTACTTTGATAAAATTGAAGAAAAGTGGGTGCAAGTGGAGACAAATGGTGAAAAACCTACTGCTAGGAGTGTATTTTCAACAGTTGGGATTGGGAAGTACATTTTTATTTATGGTGGGGAAATTGACCCCAGTGACTTAGGTCACTTGGGTGCAGGGAAATTTTCAGGTGATGTCTATGCACTTGACACGGAGACACTAGTTTGGAAGCGGTGGATTGATTCCGGTGACCATCCGGGGCCACGAGGGTGGTGCGCCTTCGCCAGCGGCCGACGAGATGGTCAAGAGGGGCTGCTAGTTTATGGTGGCAATTCACCTAGCAATGATAGGCTTGGTGGTATTTTCTTTTTCACTCCTCTGGTGGAGACTTGAGTAGGAATGAGAACTTGTGAAGTAATGAATGTTGTAATAACAAAATAATCTTCAAGATGATATTTGAGCTGTTAGCATTGTGTGGGAAAAGGGGAAAGAAAAATATGTTGTGTGACTGTTTATTGATGCTTTTGTAAAGGTTTATTGGGCTTCTTAAATCAAAGGATCCATGTTGTGAAAATTCTTACTCCAATATAGTCCTTATGCATGTCCAGAATGAACTTAACTTTACATGTTTAGTTTAAAGTTTCATTAACCTTATCAAGAGTTCATGGTTGCGTTATCCAAACAAAATGACTCTAAATACCGTGGAAGATATGATTTTCTGTGCTCTCTTACAGCAGTTCTCCTCTTGTTCTGAAACAGTCTTGAATTCTGTTTGCCTTCAAAATCGGATAACAATTGAATTCGTAAGTGGTTTTAAGGATACATGGATTAAATTGACACAAAGCAACAAGTTAAATTGTAATTGAAAATAAAGTATGATAAAGTAAATTCAAACCACACGAATTGAACAGTAACATCCTTGAGGGGAGAGCCACCCTTTAGCACAAATCACTTCGATCAGTGTCAAGATACAGTTGAAATAGAACTTAAGGAGAAAATAACAGTATATTGCTTCTGAATGGATGTTACAATGTGTTTTACAAATAATTAGACCCCCTTTATATAGAGTCCTACTTTAGGTACAATTCTATAAAAGGTAAAATATCCCATGATTTGCTAATTAGCCGGTTTCTCATTGATACGTGCCGAGGTACCCGCCGTGATACCCGACAGGTTACGGATATTTCGGCCTTTCGTTATTCGGTGTGACAATGTTTCCTCGAGCTCATTCGGGGTCAGGGTCGATTCCGGGGTCATGGACTCGATGTTCTCGAGGACGGGCATTCTGACCTTGTATCCTGGTTCGATGGGACCCGGGGTCGATTTTCAACCCATTACATTTCAGTCCCGATCTGTCATGCAATAGACGAGCCTGATTTCGACCGTATACAAATTCCTTTCAGTCCATTTGATCTCTTCTTATACCTTGCCACTGCAGGAGTTTACTCCACACCATCCCAGATTAGCACAACTAAAGGACAAGTGACTAATGCTTTCAATCTCTGTATTGCGTAATGGATAGACTAGAGTCGTAGAAAACTCCCCAATGAGCAAGATGGTTCATAATTGCTCATGAAAGGGTTTTACATACCGTCGTTGTCTTGGTTCCTCTTCTACGATTTACTTAATTTTTGATATTTTTTAAAAACATCACAATGTCTTATTTATTATTTAAAATAATAATAACCTTCAATATATTAAGAGTATTATATGTTCGTTGAGGATAATTTAGTCTACAAATGCTTGTATATATGCAATTCTCAAGCAAGATTAGAATTTACAGGGCAGAGATTGCAATAATGTAGACTGTATACTCTCAACTCATTCTTTACCAAGAACAAATATTGTTCTATCTTAGAATGATTAATAAGGGGTCGTTTGGTTCGTGGATGAATTTATCACGGGATTATAGTCCTGGGACTAAATAATCCCTGTATTATTTAATACTAATTCTTTATTTGGTTCATTGATTGAAAATGAGGCATAACGTGTATAACTCAAAACATGCATTTGGTTTGAAACTGGATAAATTCGGATAATTTTTTTAATTTTTAATTTTAACCTTGGTTATTGTAGTGAATTAGATATAGTTGAATCATTTTTTTAATAACTCTTTTAATTTGTTACTGCACTATGTTTTACTATTCCAATTTATCATCTCAAACTTGGTTAATGTAACTAGTTAATGTTTTAACTTTTATACTTTAACAGGTGTAAGGTAAGGACAACGACATCTCGCAATATTATAATAAGTAAGAAAGAGAATAATACAATGGGCCTCATATACTTAATAAGTATCTTGACTAACCTCAGTGAAGTAGTGACGAGGTTTTAGTCAAAAGATACCCACTCAGTATTTTACCTGTGTAGATAATAAGCAGAAAGAGCAATACAAGAAAAAGACACGAACAACATGTAATAAATGAAACAAGAATACAAATGACAGTGGGCCCCAGAATATCATCACTTCTCAGCCTCATAGCAAAATACGATAATAGAAATCAATAGATAAGAATAGCTATAATATATCTTCTCCGTTGCGGCGTGCAACCCGATCCCACATATAATATCAATAACGTTGCAGCGTGCAACCCGATCCATATATATATATATATATATATATATATATATATATATATATATATATATATATATATATATATATATATATATATATATATATATATATTGTGACGATCCCAAAGGGTCATCACCTGTTTCTCATTCTCATTCCGTGCTTCCGAGGCCTCGAAAACCTCATTCAGGGTTGCCTCGATTTGCGTGCGCAGTCCGGTCGCGTAGCCGGAAAGCTTAAATATGAACTCTGTGTGAAAAATGCTAAATTTTGATATTAATATGAATATAGTTGACTTCGGTCAACATTTTGGGTAGACGGACCCGGACCTGTGATTTGACGGTCCCGGAGGGTCCGTAGAAAAATATGGGACTCGGGCATACGCCCGGAATTGAATTCCGAGGTCTAGAGCCCGAGTAATGAATTTTTCTGTGAAATTGTTTTTCTGAAATTACTAAGAAAATTGGAAATGAAATTTGATTAAAAGACTGTGGTATCGGGCTCCTATTTTGGTTCCGGCGCCCGGTACAAGTCTTACATATGGTTTTAGCGCTTTCTGTAAAGTTTGGTTGAAATCGGCCGTCGTTTGACGTGTTTCGGACCTAAAATGGAAAATTTATGTTTTATGAAAATTTGGAAGAATTCATGAGTTTTGAGGTTTGATCCGGTTTTTTTGATGTTATTTTGGCGATTAGATCGCACGAGTAAGTCCGTAGGATGTTTTTGAGGTTGTGTGTATAATGGGTTTGGAGCCCCGAGGGCTCAGGTAAGTTTTGGATAGGTGTCGGATTGCATTTTTTTCATTTTGGAAAACCTGGTATCAACTGATCTGCAGTTTTCGCATTTGTGAAGCCAGAGTTCGCAAATGCGGAGGTTTTTTCGCAAATGCGAAACCAGCCTAAGCAGGCCAAGGTTCGCAAATGCGAAGCCAGGTGTCGCAAATGCGACGGCCACTGGTTCGCAAATTCGAGACCATTTTCGCAAATGCGAAGGGTCCCCTTGGCTAGCCTCAGTTCGCAAATGCGAACAGTAGTGTTGCATTTCCCAAGCCTGCAGGGTTCGCAATTGCGAACCCTACTTCGCATTTCCCATATCTGCAACCTGCATTTTTCATACTTAGACTAATTTCAAGTAACTTTTCACCATTCTTTCAAAACCCAAACACCATAGGCGATTTTTCAAGAACAAACTTCATCCCAAATTATTTGTAAGTCGATTTTTACTCAATTCTTTCAATCCTTAACATCATTTAACATGTTTTCCACTTAAAATCAAGGATTTTCATGGGTGAAATTAGGGATTTTGGGTAGAACCTAGGTTTTCTAAAAATTGGGGATTTGGACCTCGATTTGAGGTCCGATTTCAAAATAAATTACATATTTGGGTTCGTGTGGGAATGGGTAACCGGGTTTTGGTTCGAACCTTGGGTTTTGACCACGTGGGCCCGGGGGCAATTTTGGAATTTTTGGGAAAAACTTGGGAAATTTATTTTTATGCATTCAAATTGATTCATTTAGTGTTTATTAAAGTAATTGAGCAATTTGTGACTAGATTCGAGCAAATTGGAGGTGGAATCGCGGGGTAAAACGATTGTTGAGGATTGAGTAGAATTCAAGGCTTTGAGGTAAGTGTTTGGTTTAACTCTAGCTTGAGGGATTAGGAGTTGAGTCATAATTGCTACTTGTTTGTGTCGAATACGATGTATGAGCATGGTAACGAGTATCCATGCGTCGGTGTCAGGCATGACCGTGAGTCTTAATTTGATAATTTTGTACCCTTGTTTGATCCTATGAATGTTGTGATTAAATATTGGTATTAGTTGTGCCAGGGAAACGTTGAATAGGATTGGTTATAGCTGACTCTCCTTTGTCTGGATGTTTGACTTGTTGTTATAGTTCCCTTGCCGGGAAAGAGTATTATTTGATTGTTCCCTTGCCGGGATTGCGTTGTGTATTGTGTTGAAAGTAAAGGGAGCGGGTGATACGCCTACACAAGTGATATTAAAAAATGGGAACGGGTGGTACGCCTACCACAAATGATATTGAAATGGGAGCGAGTGGTACCCCTACCACAAATGATATTGAAATGGGAGCGAGTGGTACGCCTACCACAAATGATATTGAAACGGGAGCGAGTGGTACGCCTACCAACAAATGATATATTGAAATGGGAGCGAGTGGACGCCCACAAGTGATATATCGAAATGGGAGCGAGTGGTACGCTTATCACAAATGATATATTGAAATGGGAGCGGGTGGTACGCCTACCACGAGTGATATTGAAATGGGAGCGGGTTGTACGCCTACCACGAGATATTGAGAAATGGGATTGGGTTGCACGCCTGCAACAAGATAAGTTGAATATGAAAGTTGTTTTACCTTTCCATTATTGTTAGAAGTTAAACTGTAGATGTATGTACCATTATTTCCGATATTTTGACTCTATCTGTTACACTGAAGCATTCTCCTTTCCCTCCAGCTTAATGTAATTCTTGCATTTTCCGCTGTACTTGTATATATATATACACCTGCACAGGTTTATCTGGAGTCTGGTCCTATCCTCGTCACTACCTCGCCGGGGTTAGGCCAGACACTTACCAGCACATGGGGTCGGTTGTGCTGATGCTACACTCTGTGCTATTTGCACAGGTCCAGGTTTCGAGCAGCAGCAGCAGCATTAGTACGGGAGTAGGCCTTCAGTTCGGTGAGACCCGAGGTAGCCTTGCATGCGTCCGCAAGCCCGGCGTCTTCCTTATCTCTTTTTCTAGCCTGTTGCCTCATTGTATTCGAGACAAACAGCTTATGTTTTCTTTCAGACGTTGGTGTTTAGTATTTCTTAGCAGTTCGTGAGTATTGTGACACCAGTCTTGGGTAGAGGATTATATTGACTATTCCGCATGTTGATTCAGTTTCTATAATTAAGACTTCCGCTACTATTTAATTTCGTTGTTTTTATATCGTTGCCATGAATTGTTAAAAGGGATTATGTTGTAAACGGAAAGTAATTAATAATTTGGCTTGCCTAGATTCTATGAGTAGG